TAGCTAATTGTGTATATTAAATGATAGTCACCTCCTTGGCTGGAAAATTTTATTTCTTATTCCAAGAATCAGACCTTTCATTATCTTTATTAAAAAGTAATAATTGTATATACAAATAGGAAGAAGGAAAGAGTCAAGATAGAAATGACAAAGGAAAAGAAGAAGAGAAGGAGGAAGAAAAAGAGGAAAGAAGTCTAAAGGAGGAGATGCCAGAAACAGGAAAGGAGTTGAGGGAAGACAGGGCGGAGGGAGAATGCCACACTGAGAGATGCTGAGAGGAGTTGTGTATGTTAACACCTGGGCCAGATGATGGCAGGAACCGATGTCTCTGCTTAGTAGTACAAACCTTCCCACTTGATTGTCTCTAATGATAAGTCTGGAAACAGGAGCAGTATCCACACCATTGATCCCTGAATACAAATGTGAACATACATGTGCAAAGTTCTCTGGCATTTCAAGAAACCAAAGCCATGAACAGAAGCAAAGATGAATGATTCTGTAAAAGAGAGAAGATAAATGTTTAAGATACTGCATGCAGCATGCTCCCAAAACTTTACCTGATGGGCATTCTCCAAATTATAGAAATTACAAAGAAATAGGTAAGGGCTGAAGAGATGGCTCAGGGGTTAAGAGCATTAACTGCTCTTGCACTCAGACACACACACACACACACACACACACACACACACATATACACACAACTTAAAAATAATAATAAAATCTCTAAAAATTAAATAAATATAAATGTAAACAAAATTAAAATCTTAAAAGTACCAAAACTCTTCATGGAGAAGAACTTTATCACATCTCTGATTTTTTTGTTTCAGGAATGTCAAACTGATTTGCTAACTATAGTGACAGCCACAAACTGATTCTATATCCACATATTTTTTGAAACTTGAGAAATTATAATAAACTATATGGGAGTAACAATCTTTTCACCCTCAGGTTGATTCTATTTAACTTTCACCACTCTTGATAACTCGTACAGGAGTTTCCTTGAACCCACTAAAGAAATGCGAAAAATGTTTTTTTCATTCTAACACATGAACTCCTGACTTATCCTACAAGATAATTGGTTGTGGCAGAATGAAGCCTCGCCTTACTATGCCCTACATAAGAGGGCTGCCTACCCTCTACAAATCTCACTGCTTGTCTTTTCCCCCGGTTCCTTCAACTACACAGTCACCATCCCCCAAAAGCAATAAGGATGTTGTGTCCTACTCACATGGACAGCATGATCTCGACAGCAGTTCAAATGTAGTATAAGTGAAAGTTTACCATGCACTCGTGGTTGAACATCCGCTTAGGCTTTAGCACATCCCAACAGAAGTAAAGCTTATCAACACTGGCTTTTGTGTGAGCTTCTAGTTCTCTACTCGGGCCAATGTGGGACCCTGAATCTTGCCTTAAATAGCCCCAAAGAGGTAATCCCACCAGGAACTCAACACTAAGAATTAAATTTAGTAGAATATCATGAAGATATGATAGAGTTTATACACTGAAATAAGACCTACATGTTCATACTAACAGAAAATCACTAGTAGGGATTGGATTGTGTTTCCCAACTCAGTGCCCCAGCTCTTATCCACGGGCAGATTATTCTCCTCTTCCCTAATCAGAATCCTCTCAGAGCGTGCTAACCTTCCGCACATCTCTGCCTTGCTCTGAAATAGCTTCAGATCACTACATCTAAGAGTTGTCCCCAGGGCTGGAGATTTTCATCCAATCAAACACTCATTTTTAATCCTGAGTCATAAGTAATTCACTTTTCTGAGACGCTTTTCTCCCAGCCGTTATATCACACAGTGTACACCATGTGCGACATGTTGACATTGCCTGGAACGGCTGCTGGGTGCTGGCACTCACCCACTCATGGTTCCAATTCCGCATTCAAGAAGGAATCAATCTTTCTATGCGCTAACAGAGAAGGCAGCAGCAAGGGTGTGGCCCCAGGAAAAGGGAAGGAGTTACCATTCAAAAGAGATTCTTTAGGGATTGGAGAGATGGCTCAGCAGTTAAGAGCACTGGCTGCTCTTACAGAGAACCTGGGTTTGATTCTGAGCACCCATGTGCTGACTAACAACTGTCTGTAACTCCAGTTCCAGGGGAATTGGACTTCCTCTTCTGACCTCCGAGGGCACTGCACAATACAGGTACACTCACACCCATGCAGGCAATACACATAAATTAAAATCATAAATAAAATAGTTTTAAAAGAGAATACTTTGTACCACAATAGGAATATTAGCTGTTAAGAATTATAATAGTTCATGCAAACAAAATAGTTGTAACAACGTGGGAAATAATGGGTAACTGTAATCAATTGTAAATCAATAAACACATAGCTCTGAAAATAAAAATGCTAGAGTACAAATTCTAGCCAAAGTTAAGACAAAAATTGGTAGTTTAAGAAAACCAGAACAGAACCATTCCATTCCTTGGGTTACAACAATGAGTTTTCATAAGATGCAATGTGTCCTGAAGGGTTTTTCCTTATGTGTGTATATGTGTGCATATATATGGGTATATACATGTTGTATATATAATATGTGAAATATAATGTGCCTATATATGAACTTGAAAGAAATAAGCCATCTACTTATAATTAATATATTGATAGGTTCAGTTAAACAATCAATCTTATCTAAAGGCTGTAGCCAAGTATCATTAGTACTGTTTCCCTTCAGTTTTGGGTGGCTTGCTGGATTGCTTAGCTATTTTCACAAAATTTAGATTATGGAAAAACAGGTCTAACTTTTGGAATCAGATGAAAACCTTTTGCTCTTATTTCTGCAAACCTTTCTTTCCATTAAATTATGTTTTCTGGCTTAAAATAAGGCCTCAGGTGAATATACTTGTTATTGTTTTAAAAGTAGTAAGTGTGGTTAAGGACTAAAAAGCATGAAGTGTGTATATTTATTCCTCTAGTATCTCCTTTAACTCAATGGTTATTAAAGGGCAATGATAGTCCCTTGGAAACAGGGGTTCTTAGAAAGGGGCCAGAAAATGAATTTAGAAACCTAAACAAGCTAGCTGAGGCCATATCTTTCTCTGGCAACCTGAATATTCTCTTCACTGAGCCCTGTTCATAGCAACACACAAAGGACGACTCTGCAGCCAGGGATAATAGCTGATCCCCAAATCTGGCACTAACACTTAGAAAGATTAATTACCCTATTAAAACCTTAGACATTACTCACACCATCTTTGTATAAACCTTTTAACTCACAACAAATGTGGCCTCCTTGGTGCCTTCAGCTTGTAACACAATAAAGGTCCTCACCCTCCCCTCCCCATCCTCCATTGTTCCCAGCATCTTCAGGAATATCCAGATACACTTATACAAAGTGCATGCACATAGTCACACCCACACCAAGCAGGAGAGAGCTGAAGCTGCCTCCTAATACGGAGGCATAGAGTGAGAATGTGGCTGGTACCGATATGCTAAAAACCCCTCCTGCCTATAAACTGGCTAGTCGAAGATGAACCAGCAGGAAAGCATACTCAGAGCAGGAAGGCTACTGCTGTGTCGGGAACTGGAGGAGCTAAGAAGATTCCTGTTGCAAGTCCTATGCAAATGACATTCCATGTATGAAATACAGGAAGGTTACATGCTTGATGCTTATTATCAAGGTCTCCCCTAGAGGCAAACACAGGTGATTTGACTTTGATTTTCACATTCCCTGTCAATCTCTTTAGTTTCCCTTCCTTCTCCAGTGTTGCCTTCTTCCAGAATTTTTATCACACGTGCAAAGTGAGCTCACTGATTCTGAAGTCAGCCCAGGTCATGCTTGCTTGGTGTGGCCAAGGCTTGAGTTCAACTCCCAGCACCACTGCCAAGTGCAAAAGAAAGAAAGGAAGGAAGGGAGGGAGGGATGGAGGGAGGAAGGAAGGGAGGAGGGAGGGAGAGAGGGAGGGAGGGAGGGAAGGAGGGGGAAAGGAGGGAGAAGGGAGGGAGGACAGAAGGAAGAGAGAAAGGAAGAAGGGAAGGAAGAAAGGAAGGAAAAGAAGAAGGAAGGAAGAAACCCCAGTAGAAGGAGAAGACTAAGCAAATAGGTTACAACTGACGGTTCAAACACCACAAACATTTAGGTACCTTGATTTCCCTTATCAATTGTATTTCACCAATTGCATCATCATAACCTGAACAAATGTTATCCTCAGAAAAATGACAGATTGATGATAAGAAAACATTGGTGAAGACTCCGGCCCACGGAGTGAAAATCCCAGCCCAGCATTAATAGGGTGCATGAGCCCAGGCTAGCTAAGTTGTCTGATCAGCCTCACATGCCCCATTCAGAAGGAGCACCAAATACCTAAGTGTCCAATGGGACCAACTAAGTGAAGGCTTGGAGAAGCCTGGCATCATGCCCAGCACGTAGTCAGTCCCTAACACATGGTGGTCAGAAACGTTAGCTGTGGGTATGATTGTGATTATCTTGGTGGGTGAAAGCAGGCTGCTGACCTAACTAGTCACTTGACTTTTATGCTAGTAACTAGGTCCCTTCTCTTCTTAAACAGAATTTTGACCAAGTTAATGACAAGGACATGCAAAGATGCTAACATTCATCTTTGTTCACAAATCTGGCAGAAACAGAAGATCAAAAACCACACGTCACCTGCCTTTTCTATCATCCCCACAACTGCACAGCTGGTACGATTCATCTGGTTCTCTTGATGCCACATTTTGGTCTAGTTCTACCTCAAAGAGCCACAGAAGGAGAAGAGACTTTCCTATTTAAACATACACACAGCATACACACACAAATTTAAGTTTCTAGAAAGCCCAAAACTGCTCCAGCAGGATCAGCACTTTCAGCAAAAGGGTTCTTTGTGTTCTCAAGTTAGTTTGGAGAGAATTTGTTTCACATGAAATTGGCAAAGAAAATGTAGACTCATAAGTGGTAAAAGTAAAATAAAGCAACATGAGGGTGTCATTTCCTCTGCAATGAATGAAGTTACATCAAGACTTCAAACAGAATAGCACTCTCTGTGTGTGTGTGTGTGTGTGTGTGTGTCCAACTAGTGGACAGAGGCATGGGAGACATGTGCAAAAATAAATCCTCTTTTGCAACCCAGAGCTCATTTTCAATACAAGTTTTGATACGCACAAGAAGGACTAGGACAAGGCAGCTCAAAGTGATGGTGTTGAGAGAAAAGTTGGCATAGAAATGAGGCACTCCCCAGGCAGCCGGCCTCGGGGCCTGGGGCAAGCCGACTCCCAAAAGACTGAATATTTGCTTGCGATGGACCATGTGAGGAACCTTATCATACAAGATGAATACTTACCTGATAATAGGTGTTTTTATATTGATCTCAAAATCCTTAACTCAGGACTTGACAAGTAAGCAGAAAAATAACTGGAGAGCCAAGATGGCAGCAAAGCCAAGCGATGGTGGTGATGGCGACTCTTGGCACAAGATGTAAAACATGACTGTGAGCCTCTTCGTATTATTAAAAATCTTCATTCTTCTATATTGATCTCAAAATTCTGAACTCAGTACTTGGCAAGCAAGAGGGAAGATAACTGGGGAGCCAAGGTGTTGGAGCAGCACTAGCCTGGCCACCCGCATGCGCCAGCAGAATGGAGCCACACCAGCGTGGCCACACACATGCGATAGCAGAGCCATGCCAGCCTGCCTACCCACACACCCCAGTGGCACGCATAGTCGGCTGACCATCGTCATCATCATACAGTGGCTGTCAAGACCTGGCTGCAGTCCTCAACAATATTAGAAATCTGAGAAATCTACATATTTTAGAAAATAAACTGGAGGACACTGATGCAATGCTGTCATGTGAAGCCGTGAAACTTCCCAACTGCCACTCTGAGAATCTTGGATGGGAGGCCTGTGAGCTAACTGCTGCCTGCTATGAGGGCCTAGCTTCTGCTTTTACCCACAGTAAAACCCTGTTGGAGAAGGCCTTGTTCTACAGTGGGGTCACTGTCCTGAGTAAGACCCAGAAACAGCCAAAATGCAAACTGCATGCAAGGGCTATGAACAACTAACTTTGATGAGGAAAACCAAGTGTTTCTGACAGCTGAGAAAAAGAGAAATCTCTACCTGACATTCCTAAGCAGTATGTGAGAGAAACCGAATTTAAGAATGAAAATCTTGGTCCAATAAACCTGGGCATACAAAAGAAAGAGAGTAAGCCCTTGCTTTGACACACCTGAGTATAAGAATTACAGATCACTGACACTCCAATGAGATGATTTCTCTGGCATCCAGTTCAGAGGTGTGATGTAATATGGATGGGGTTGTTCATTTGCTAATAGAGGACATGAAGTGGGGGGTGGGTAGCAGGTAGAAGGGGGAGGGCAGAGATGGAGGAAGAGATCTGGATACAATCTAAATTCACTGTATGAAATTCTTGGATCAATAAATTTCTCTTAAACTTAAAAAAAAAGAAATGTGATACACAAATTTACGTGTGTGTATTAATGGAAACGTGTTTTGTATAAGTTTTTGTTTTTATTTAGTATTGGTATGTATAGATCTATCTCTTTATAAAGGAGTACAAAGAATTCCATTATAAAGTTGTACCAAGATCTATTTAGGCCATCTCTTACCTATAGCTGTTTGTTAAGTGTTCTATTTTAAAACATGAGAATAGGATGCATTCTGGCGTATTTTCAGTACATCCCAAATACACTTAAAAGATAAACTCCTAGGGCTGGAGAGACAGATCAGCAGTACAAATTCTTACCACTCTGTAAGAGGGACTGGAGTTCACATCCCAGCACCCACATCAGGTGGTTCACAAACGTCTGTGTCTCCAACTCCAAGGGACCTGAACCCCCTTCTAGCCTCTGTTGGCACCCACATAAATGAAATAAATTTTCAAAATTTTTTTTAAGTTCTAAATGAAAAGACTTGGTTTGATTGTGATGAACTCACATTTATTTTTTTTATTATTTTTTTGCTTTCCTGTGAAGGAAAAAACAAAACCCTTCAAACAGAAGGTCATACACAGGCATTCCACATTGTGTTCACTCACATCTGTCACAGGTATTTGGCTCCTGAGGAATGTAGATCTTCAAGGGCCTCAGTTCCCAGGCATGTTCCTGTAGCCCTAACACCTCTGCAAAATATTTCCCTCTGGGTACAGAGCTGAAATTCGTGCTATGTTCTATGCTCTTCAGAGGAGGCAGATTCAGCCCATTCCCTATATATGTACGATTCTCAAGAGAAGAAAGTTCCACATGATTGAAATGAGCTCCAATGAGGATGTTCAAAATTCTTCCCTCAGACATAGACAAAGGTAAGGCTGCACTGTCCATTTGAATGCTGTGACCTTCCAAATTTCGTGAATTGAAATCTAATCTACAGTGTGGGTGTGTTAAGGGGTAGGGCCTTCAGGATTTAACTAGACCATGAGAGGCCCTGATGAATGGAGTGAACACTTTTTAAAAAGAGGCACAAGAGAGCTTGTTTGTCCCTTACATATGTAAAGGAAGAGGTGGAGAATACACCTTACGTACAATCAGGCAGTACACTCATATATATATA